ACGAAGCACCTCCGTGGCCAGACCTACAGGACGTCGAATGGACGGGTCGGTAGTTATGAGGTTAGCGAGGCAAGCACGGCACATGAACGAAATAAAACTGTCAGCCCGCATGAACGAGGCCCAGCCCAGGACAGTGAATCGCCCATATTTGTGGCCGCTTCCTCTGGTGACGCTGCAGGCATTCCGGCAGGGCATTGGGGTGTACGACATTTCCACAATGGACTTAAAGGCTCGATTTAGGGTGCAAATTGCCGGTTACGGTAGGAAGAAGCGAAAGGCAGCAAACAGCCTTGCCGCTGTGGTCAGACACAGCATGTGATCAATAGCCCGCGTGCGTGCAGGCCGTGTAAGCGCTGGCTACCATAAACCAGTAAAGCACTTCAGAGTGCATAGCGAGCCAACCTGATTCAAAATGCGGAAATCTTAATTACCTTGCCATAGTCGGCGTAAGGAATGGTCACATTAATGCATCAGTTGTTCCTTGTGGCAGTTTGAATAGCGAAGTGGCGGACTGATGAAGCTTATCTGTGAGTGCAGCTGTTGTCTGCGTCCAAACCAAGCCAATGACCGATTTTGCGTCGGGCAATAACCAGCTCACGGTAAAAGCCGTCTGTCGCAGATCGACCATACCATAAGCGCCACGCGCGCGTTTTGGTCCGGTCGTGCAAGTATGAGGGTGGCTTGAAAGCAGCAGTGGATTGCTAGATGGAGATGCGCTCAGGGCAGTCCATTGACGGTCGGTGGTCGGAAAGCTGGTGAGGCCCGGCGTCCATACTGAGGCTGTCGCGTGAACGCACGGCTTAACAGAGCGGGCAAATCAAAGATAAATGGATGACCGCGCGTGCGGTTCCTGATGGATATGGTGTTTTCGATGGACACGTTTGTAGATAAGTTTCAATATCTGGAGAAGAAAGCAAAACCTTCGGCTGACTAGATTGCATGATTTCAGTAAACGTATCCGCTAGCGATAAGCTGTAGGACATGGAAATATGTCCGGATAGAAGGGAATGAAGAGGCTTTGCAACTTTATAAGTTGTTGAGGTGACGAGGAGGGGATGGTGAGGATGAAGGTATATTTCAATGAAACAAGTATACAGGAATATGTTCTGCCAAGACCTACGAATAAATATATATGCATGTATATATATTATATATATATATATATATAATATATATATATATATATATATATATATATATACCTGCCTATTTATATATATATTATATATATATATATATATATATATATAAATAGGCAGACCATGCAAGAAGTGTCCGAACGCGACACGTCGAAAATGCTTCCAGGAGTTTATTTGGGTGCGAAACAGATGTCTTTAACCCTAGTTTACCAGATGCCCAGATACTTGGCGAGGAAGAATACAATGGCCTGCAGTAGCCTGTAACAGAACCGTACAATGAATTTCAAGCTATGTGTGCGTAAGCATGTGAAGTGATGTTTTGGTGTACATGGAAATTTGCCATGATGGGACAGGTATGGCTAGACGTGTTTGCCAAGTATGTTGCGCGACCGTTTATGTACATAACGTTACTTGCATGTGCGTAATGTTCGCCAACGTTCGTTTAACGCTTAAGCACGCGACGTATTCACCTGATAATTGGCGAGTAAATTGCTGTTTGTGATGTCGTTTCCCGTCCGTCATCGCGTCTCACAGCGTGGTTCGTGGTGAGCCGCAATGGCCTGACCGGGGTCACAAGGTCATAGCCTACGGCGCCAGACCAGTGGTGACCCCGCACGGGAGCGGTGCGAGCGACAGTCAGGACTGAGAACGCGTGCTGAGAGGCCTAATTTCATTTGATTTGTGCACCATAAAGGCCATAAAAGTCCGATTGCCACGGACTATTTGCAGCCGGACCGAAGAAGGGAGACGTCATAAGACAGCACTGTTGGAAAAGGAATACGGAGGCATGGGCACCTAATCTTTGCATGCAGCCATCTTTGGGAGTAAGCCAAGAGCAAAAATGCGTCTAGTATTCGTGGCTTATGCAAAAAGCTTAAGCTGTCATGACCCCACTTGTGCCTAAAAAACACGTTTTTTCTTCCGGACGTCAATACATTCGTAGAAAAGCGCGCATTTTACCTCCCAAAAGCGCTTCCGCAGCACTGCAAGGACACATATGCATACACACACAATACCTCACCTGCATACTGTTGGAGTCTGTAGGAAAAAG